GTAGGAATGTGTAAAAAAGAGAGAAGGAATGGAAATATATTTTTTTGTTGCAGGTAAAAGAAAGTAATTTTGTCCTAAATGAGACTGGTTTGGAGAAAAATGGCTTGGGATAAAATTTGAATGCAAAGGAAAGTCGTAGAAGGTTCATGAAGGGAAATCTTTGGAAAGGAATTTTATGTGTGATTAGGACAGACTATGTTGCAGGATGGATTTTTTTAAAGTACACTGGTATAAGGTTGAAATTCTGCTTTTCTCTCTGTTCAAAAAACAAAGTTTTTTGGATTATCTCTTGATACAAAGAAAAAAATATACATATATATGTATGCATGTATACAAAGGATTGTATTCTCTTTTGTCTGCTGGGAAAACCACAGCTTTACCTTATGCCCTTATCAGGTCTTTAATCACTTAGTTAAGATTTCTCACTGTTAAAGGAGGTTAAGTTTTGCTGACAACTATATAACCCTACATATTTGCCTTTGGAATCTCTTAATGCCATCTTGGTTAAATACATAATTTAAAGCTTTAAGATTTGTAATGATCTCAACCCCATTTCAGATGTGCTCTATACTTTGTAAGGTTTAACAAACTTCCCAGGATTTAAATTGTAAAAAAGTCTTTTTGACCAATGAGGACTTTTTATTTGGTATGTTAAGTGGAAGCTCTGTTAAATAATGGTAAATTTTAGGTGATACTGCTTGGGTAAATGTTGGAACTGTTCAAATGTATGTGCAATTCCTAAATCTCTAAATGAATATGCAACACATATCTTTCCTAAACCTGATCTAACGGTTGCTAGAAACCCACATCATATAAACCCAAAACACCTGGTTTATTTAAAGGATTGAAAGTCTAATACAACCGTGGGTTTAACTTCAAACTGGAAGAGCCCCTACTGAGTCATATTATATACTCCCACTGCGATAAAGTTGGAAGGGAACACTTCATGGGCTCCTATATCTAAAATAAAACCTGTGCCCCCTTCCCAGGAATTCAATGAGCAAACTAATATGCCTTCTTATTCCTGTGAACCTGTGGAAGACCTCCAACTTCTCATAGGATGGTTGTACCTTTCTTTTTCATCCTCTTTTCCCAATTTCTACTAACAATTCCTTCTTACAATGGTCCATTCAAAAGGATCACCACAGACATTTGAGATACAAGCCAAAAGACCAATGTGATTCCTGCTGCCTGTTCCCAGAAGCATCTGAGGATGCTTCAAGCCTAATGTCTAAAAAATCTCACCGGCAGCACTGGGAGACACTGGGCTTTTAATCTGCTCTAATAATTAACCTGTATTTTTCTTTTTTCTATAAAAGTATCTCTTTTTAATTACCTGATTGGTTACTAAACAAAACAGAGTCAATATGATGGCTATACATCACCTGTTACACAGTTAAAGAATTAAATGACTCTCAAAATACCATTATATTACTAAATACTAAAATAACTCAAGGGGCACCTGGGTGGCTCAGTTGGTTAAGTATCCGACTTCATCTCAGGTCATGATCTCATGGTTTGTGAGTTCAAGCCCCACATCATGCTCTGTGCTGACAGCCTGGAACCTGCTTTGGATTGTGTGTCTCCTTCTATCTCTGTCCCTTCCCCACTTGTGCTCTGTCTCTCAAAAATAAATAAATGTAAAAAAAATTTTAAATAAAATAAAATAGCTCAAATGCATAAAACACTTCTACAAAACAGAGTGGCATTAGATGTTTTAATTGTTGCACAAGGTGGAACTTAAACTCTCATAACAACAAAACACTGTACATACATTCCGGAGTACCTCAAAAATATTTCTGGATTTCTAACTATCATGACACTCACACTGGTGTATTAAATAACCCTTCTCTTTCCTTTAGTGATGAGTTAAACTCTTGGACTGAAGGATTTTGGTTAGATCCCAAAGGACTTTTCATTTGAGCTTATCTTGCTAGTTATTGTACTTGGTTTTACTGTTTTCTCCCACGTCTGTCTGCCTGGTGCCAGATTCCATAACTACAATAACTTCAAGCCAAGAGATGATCCTTTCTACTCAAGGATGTTCATACATGTTATCCACCTTGGATTCACCTGCCTCACCTTAATTTCCCTTTTTGTTCCCTGACGGGCCAATATTGACCTATAGATAGGGACAACTGTATGCCCCTACTCATCAGGAAGATGTTACAGAAGGTGACACCTTCTTCCTTCAACAACATTAAAGATATAAGGGTCAAAATTGTTCACGGGAGATATGATTAAGGAGCGTGGAGCAAAATGAGGGCAAAACAGGCTGGCATATCTCCCCTCCCCCAGGTGGAATATCTGACATATTTCTCACACACTCCTGGCTACCCAAGAACAAAGGAAAGGCATTTAAATGCTTGCCATGGTGATGTAGGAAACTAAGGCAAATAAAATGCCTACAGCCTATTGGCAAGTCCTTTAAACCAGCAGAGTAACCTTCCTCTGGGATCTCAGCTGCCTCATTAATGACACTTTGCCAGGGGCAAAGAGAACCTTAGCTTAACAGTATCCCAACCTCCAGGATCCTGTAAATCTACTTCCTTTATCTCAACTGCCCCAAGGTATATGCTGGCAATCATACTCCAAGTTTATGATCCCACAATATGCATCTGAAGGGTCTCTTGACTGAGGTTTTATTCAACAGTAATAATGGTATTTCCCTAGCAACAGCTAGCCCCTCAAGGTCCTGGAAACTTTGCTTCCAAAATACCTTAGAGACTTACTCTATCCCTGACCCCCTCTCTGCCTGAGGGTATATAGTCAGTTACCCATCACAACCCCAGTGCATCTCTTCCTGCCCCTATGTCCAGTCCCCATGCTTTAATAAAATCACCTTTTTGCACAAAACGTCTTCCAGGAATATTTCTTGTCCATTGGCTCCAGACCACCACACAGAAAAACCCAAAACATCATCAGTATACATGCTAGATTACCACACAAATATTTCTGGATTCTAACTGACCTGAATACTCAAATTGGTGCTTTAAACAATTCCTCACTTTCCTTTCATGATTGGTTAAACTCCAGGACTTAGGGTTTTCATCAGTTACCAAAAGACTTTTATTTGGGCTGCTCTTTCTTGTTATTCTAATTACATTTGGCTGTTTTCTCTCCTGTCTCTCTGCCTGGTGACAAGACTCCATCACTACAATAACTTCAAGCCAACAAATGATCCTTTCTACTAAAGGAGGTTCATACTCATTATCCATTTTGGATCCAGCTGTCTCTGCCTTCTGTAATGTCTTATATGTTCCCCAACTGATCAATATTGACTCATAGGTAGGGACATCTCTACTCCCCTACTGAACAGGAAGAAGCTACAGAAGATGAGACCTTCCCCTTCAACAACCTTAAAGATGTAACGGTCAAAACTGTTTATGGGGGATATGATGAGGGAGCATAAGACAAGCTGAGGGCAAAGTACAAGCTAGCATTACTCCCCTCCACCCCAGGTGGGATGTGTGTGACATTCCTCAGGCACTCCTGGCTGCCCAAGAACAAAGGAAAGGAAAGAAAACAAATGGTTAACTGATAGAGATCCCAGCCATGCAGGACATGAGTCTCCATCAGTTTATAAATATCTTAGTAAATTAGAAGAAAAAGGCAATCTTATCAATAGCCTAATCTCCAGAAACCTATAGACTCAGTTTCCTGGAGCCCCCACATCACCCCTCATAGTAATATGGGGAAGAAAGGCAAGAAGGAAATGGCAGGTAACATTAAATATCCTGATACCCTGCAGCCCACTGACAGATACTTGAGGCTGGCAGAGAAGAACATTTCTCAGGAACTCCCTACTGTCTTAATGTTGATGTTTGCTAGAGGGAAAAATACCTTAGCTTGACAATAGCTAGGCCTCCAGTATTCTGTAAATCTTCTTTTTTTAAATTTTTTTTTCAACGTTTTTAATTTATTTTTGGGACAGAGAGAGACAGAGCATGAATGGGGGAGGGGCAGAGAGAGAGGGAGACACGGAATCGGAAACAGGCTCCAGGCTCCGAGCCATCAGCCCAGAGCCTGACGTGGGGCTCGAACTCACAGACCGCGAGATCGTGACCTGGCTAAAGTCGGACGCTTAACCGACTGTGCCACCAGGCGCCCCTGTAAATCTTCTTTAGCATCGAAAATCTCTTTTAAAACTTCCCTTGACTTTACCTCCTCCAAGGCCATAACATAACCAGTCACTCTTCACAACCCAAGTCCAGCTCTTTCTGTCCATGGGTCCTGTCCCCGTGCTTTAATAAAATCACATTTTTGACCCAAGTACATCTTCAAGAATTCTTTCTTGGCCCTTGGCTCCAGACCCTTCCATCACCCCACCCCTATCACCCTCCATCACTGGTTAAGTGGTGGTGAGATCACCTCGGCCCCCCAACTCTCCCCAGCTGCCTGGCCCTGCCTGGGCCTCTGCCATTGGACCTGTTGCAGGTGGCTGAACATGGGTGTGAGTTGTGCCCCAGCAGTGTGCTACAAGGCAGGGGCAAGTGACGACTCCTGCTGGTCTGGGGTTGGGCCTGGAGTTGGGAGCTAGAAGGGTTCAGTCAGAGCTGGACTCTGCTTCTGTGCCTCAATCCCTTTCTGGAAACCACATTTCTTGGGAGTGTTGCTAATAGGAGCCTTTGCTTTGTTCTTTTCCCTCTCAGAGGGCCCAGAGGTCAAAGAGCGCAGACTAGAGACTAGGCGACACATGTTTATTTAGCAAAAAAGGAGGGGTTCCATGAGCAAGACAGCCTGGGGAGCAGATGGTGAGCTGTGCAGTGAGAAGGGTCTCCACATCTTTCAGTAGCGTCCAGGCTGGTGGGGACAGCTAGGTGGTGCCCTGGACAGAGATTGGAGGGAGGTCAATGGAGTAAACAGAGCCGGGGGCACCTGAGAGGGAGTCAAGGGAATAGAGAGGGCAGCAGTGCTGGGCAGGTGGGACAAAGGCAGACCTGGGACCACCCCCCAGCTGCACCCTGGCTCCCATCAGCCCCCTCTGCAGCCATACTTACCGCACACTTGCTCACTCATCGATGCACTGATCTGTGGGGGACAGAGGGGTCAGTATGGACAGGGGTGTGGGGGGGGGGTCCCTGACCTCCAGGGCCCCTGCACTGCCCCTGGGCTACCCTGGGCCTCAGTCTGGTCTAGCCACAGAAGTTCTGGGGCTTCCCTTCATAGACGGTACAGCAGAGGGCTGGATGATGGGGCAGGGACTCGGGGAGAAGCCTGAGGACTAGCAGACCTGGGTGACACCCATTCTCCAAAGGAGGCAGATGAGGCCCAGCCATGGTCCTGATTGGGCACCAAGCCTTCTGCCTGTTTACCTGCTGAGTCCTGACACACCCTCAGCCTTGGGGAGGCACCTGCCCAGACCAGGCTGCCTGAGGACAAGGGCACCTGCCAAGTCAACGGTGAGCCAGCCCCAGGGCAAAGGGGGAGGTGGCCCAGGACAAACAGGCCAGGCAGGGAGGAGGAAGAGGGAGAAATGGCCAGGCAAGGAGACTGGGGAAGCTTGGCCCCAGATGTGTAATTCTCATGTGGGCAGGACTGAGCTATTGTGAAGGAGGAGACTTGGGAACCAGAACCCTGGGTGTGACAGGGTCTTCTTGAGCCCAAAGTGGCTCCTGCAGCTCCAGTGACCACAGCAGGGCTCTGCCTCCCTCCTCTCCCCCCTTCCCTAGTGAGGCAACATCAGGCCTGGACAGTCCCCATGTGCCCTTCTCTCCCCAGCTGGTGATTACCGATGGGGATTGGGAAGATGATGTGGTCATCAGTGAGGCCCAGGGATTTGGCGAAGCTGATGAAGTTTTCCTTCAGCTCCTGGGTCAGCTCCTTGGTCCTCCCTGTGGCCAAGATGGCTGGTGAGTGGCTGGCGGAAGCTCCATGAATATTGTGGAACCTGTGAATGATGCCTCAGACCCCTCCCTCCTGAGGGGTCTGTGGAAAGACCCCTCTCCCGTCTCCCAGGGCTCAGAGTGAAGGGGACCTTGGGGGATGGGTGTTGTGGGCCTCTTCTCTCCCAGCATGACCAAAAGCAAGGTTCCAGAAGGGGTAAGACCCACCATAGAGGGTGATCTTGAAGAACTCCCGGTTTTTGTAAACTTTCTTGAAGAACACCGTGGCAACCTGGTTGTAGTCTGTGGCCACCACTCGTACAGTGTAGCTCTGGATTCCAGGGTAACCTGCATGGTGGACAGTGAGGGATCAGCCCACCCTGGCCAGGGAGAGGGAGCTATTGCTTCCTCCCCTGCCTCCACTGTTTGGCATCCGTGTGGAGGGGCAGTGAGGTCCTTGCCCCCGGAGACCCACTCCACTCAGGACTCACGCTCAATGTTGCCCAGGTTGAATTGGCCTGGCTGGAAACTTGGGAGGAAAGTTCTGATCCAGTGGTCACAGAGCTGGTTCCTGTGGAACAAGAGGTGTGTGGGTAAGAGGGTGACAGCCCACCCTGCCACAGCAGGAGGCCCGCATGCCACGCCTCAGATGGGCCTGTCTCTTCCCCGGTGAGCCCATCCCTGCCTCCTCTGCCCTGAGCCACCTGAGCTGCTCAGACTCTCCCTCTGCACCTGCTGTCCTTCCATCTTTGAGGCGTTTCCCTGGGTGGACTTTCCTCTACACTGTCCCCTTACCCAAGGTATTTGTCTCCTATTTTTTTTTTAACTTTTTAAATGTTCATTAATTTTTGAGACAGAGAAAGAGAGAGAGAGAGAAAGAGAGAGAGCCTGACTGGGAGAGGGGGGAAAGAGGGAGACACAGAATGCAAAGCAGGCTCCAGGCTGTGAGCTGTCAGCACAGAGCCCTACACGGGGCTCAAACTCAAAACTGTGAGATCATAACCTGAGACAAAGTCAGAGGCTTACCCGACTGAGCCACCCAGGGGTCCCCTGTCCCCTATGCCTATCTTGTGGCTTCCTGCTATAACCTCTCCTGGGGGAATCAACAGAGGCTCCAGTCTGCTGGATGCCAACACTCCCTTAGCTGTTGGGCCAACCCTGACCTCTCAGCTGCATCCCACCTGGTCCCCTGGCACCATAGAATCAATCTCCCAACATCTGTCTTTCTTCTGCTCCTTCTATGACAGATGCTCTAGCCCCATTCCCAAGTGCCAGAGCCAGAAACCCAGAGGAGCTGGGTAAGCCTTGCCTCCCCTCTCTAGGTCCTAATCCGCCCCTGCTCTGGTCATCTCCCACCTACGACTGATCAGCCTCCTGGGCTGCACACCATCATTCTTCTCCCTGCTACAGCCACACCCACTCCTCACCAGTACCTGAGGCCCCTGCCACTGTGGTCACTACCCCCTCCATACTGCTCATCAGCTCCTGCTCAGGGCAGCCATGCAATGGCTTGCTGTTTCTTGAAGTGGCTCTCTCTGACTCAGTCCAACAGCCCTGCCACGAAGGTCCCAGGCCTCCTTCTGATTCAGGTTGGTTCCTCAAGGCCCATCCCACAGACCACCTCCCTGGAAGCTCTTGACAAAGCCCTAGGTGGGATTCTAGGCTGGATCCAGTGACCCTCCTCCCATTCTAGGACACCCTGTTCTCTTTGTCTTGTTTCCTGATGATGGTCTGTGTCCATTCCCAGGACTGTCTTCTGTCTGTGCTGAAGCGACTGAGAAATGTTGATCCAGTGAATGAAAGAAGGAATAAATACAGGGACCAATTGCCCAGTGGTAGGATGAATTATCATCTTTCAGCTTTGGTCACCCCTTGGCTATGTCATCAGTCTGACTCCTGGACCCCCACGGCAGCCCTCTAGGCCCCCCATATTCCCATAGGAGGTGGTGGCTCTTACCGGAGCAGGGTGGAGGTGACATTGTAGCTGCTGTCTTCATTCAGCTCGTAGGTGGTGGCATACATCTTGAACTGGCTGTTTTCTTCTTTATTAAATGCGTTCCCTGCCAGTCCTACGACATACCATTTCCCCTGGAACTACAATGGGGGCTGATGATAGGCAGAGCCAGGAGCAGCCCTAGGGGGCCCTCTTGCTCCATCCCTGCAGGCACCTCTAGGCAGCCTGGCCCAGAACCAGAGGCCCCTCTAGCTGGGCTGCTGGGACCCAGACTGGCCATACAGGCTGTGCTGATGAAGCCAGCAGGAGCCATTAGGCCAGGAGGGAGCCCTGAGTGTGTCAGGGAGAAGGTGACCCTTGGCAAGTGGCCAGCTGGCATCCCTGAGCCTCAGTTTCTTCATCATGTAGAGGGCCTGAAGATGTTCCCACCTTGCAAGAACTTCAGAGATATGGAAAAGAGTGTGGACCAGGGGAGTCTGCTCAGCTGACCCTCTTGTCAGCAAGGTTGGGTGTGGATGGGGGCATGGGGTGTGCCTTCCATCAGAGGACCCAAGGGTAGACTGAGCTAAAACCTGAGCCCATCCTGCCTCTCCTCCCCTCTGTTCACACTCTTCCCGGAGCTTCCCTGCAGCTGCCCCCCACTCCCCAGGCCTCTTACCAGCTCATCCTGGAAGTCAGGCTGCAGAGGGACCTTGAGCAGAGGCGGGGCTGGGATCAGGTTTGGGGTGGAGTCCTGGGCCTGGGTCTGCAGGGCCCCCAGCAGGACAAGGCTCAGGCACAGGAGACCTAGGGCCATGACTTCAGGGCCAAGGAAGCTGGCACCACTCTGGATATCAGCTGAAAGAGGAGGTGAGTGAGGAGGCTTCCGGAGGGCCCCTTTTATGGTCCTGCTGGGCAATGGTTACCCCAGGGTGGAGCAACTTATCCTTTGCCAAATCCAGGAAGGGTGAGGCAATTGCCCGCAAATCATGCTTAAACTTTTGGCAAGCTCTCCGCGCTTTTCCCCAGGTCAGTATTATGCAAGATGAGGGGCAGGAAGGTCTGGGAGGTAGGGAGGGGGCTTTCCCCATATCTCCACATCTGTGGCAGGGACAGTGAGTCCTTCTACACTCTCTTCCCCCTAGTTAGCACTGCGTGTGGTCAGGGGTCTCCGATCTGGACCAACTGTCATCTCTGACTGCCAGGAGCCTCTCTGCTCTGGCCCAAGTGTAGGATGGCGTAAGTGCAGTGGGGTCCCCTTCCTGCACCTGACCAAAGCAGAGAATGCTCACATCAACAGAACCATGCTGCTTTGTGGGTCTTGAAAGGGAAAGGAAGGGAAGGGAAGGGAAGGGAAGGGAAGGGAAGGGAAGGGAAGGGAAGGCAGCTGAAAGAGGACATTCCTGGTAGGAACGGACAGAGTGTACCCTGTGCTGTTCATAGAGCCCAGTTCCTGGCCCTCCCAGGGACCCACCCCAGGCCCTGGCACAAGGTGAGACACCCTTTCCCTGACCCCACAACCAAAAGCCTGCTGGGGAGTGTTCCTGATGAGGGAGCATAAGGCAAGCCAAGGGCAAAGCACATGATAGGATGCCTCTCATCCCAGGTGGGATCTTTGTGACATTCCTCAGGCACTCCTGGCTGCCCAAGAACAAAGGAAAGGAAAGAAATCAAATGGTTACGTGATAGAAATCACAGTCTTCCATCCGTTTACCTATGTCTGGTAAATTAGGAGAAAAAGGGAATCTTATCAGTAGCCTAATTTCCAGAAACCTATACTCAGTTTCCCGGGCCCTGAACATCATCCTCCTCTCCATAGTTATACAGGGAACAAAGGCAAGAAGGAAATGGGAGACTGGGGCACCTGGGTGGCTCAGTCAGTCGAGCCTCTGACATCAGCTCAGGTCATGATCTCATGGTTCATGTGTTCAAGCCCCGTGTCGGGATCTGTGCTGACAGCTTGGAGCCTGGAGCCTGCTTCAGATTCTGCGTCTCCCTCTCTCTCTCTCTGTTCCTCCCCTGCTCTCACTCCGTCTCTCTCTCTCTCTCTCTCAAAAATAAATATTAAAATTTTTTTTTAAAAGAAGGAAATGGGAGATAATTTCTTTATGATCTGTAGCCCATTGACAAATTCTTGAGGCAAATATGGAGTATAATATTTCTCCAGGAATTCCCTACTGTCTCTTGACCATAGGAAAATCCCTTTAGAAACTTCTCTTGACTTGATCTCCCCAACCCCATGGTATCTAACCAGTCTCTCTTCACAACCCCATGCAGCTCTTTCTGCCCTAGAATCTTGTCTCTGTGCTTTAATAAAATCACCTTTTGTGCACCAAAGATGTCTCAAGAATTGTTTCTTGGCTGTCAGGTTCAAAGTCCCACCATTCCCATCTTGAGTCAGCCCCTCCCCATCTCCATGCCTCATTGGTAGGGTGAACCCAGACCTCACCTGGCTCCTAAGGGACTTGGTCCCTTCTGTGGGCCCAGTGGACAGAATCCCCAAGCTGGGCATGCCGGCCATAAATGGGACAGCTTGACAGAGCAGAGCTCTGAGGCTACAGTCCCAGTTCCATCCTGTGGGAGGACAATGGGGGACATGCATCCTCACTATGTGAAAAGGGGTGAGGGGCTGGGGCCCCAAGGGGGGCTCTCCCTGCTGCTCTGGACACCGGGAACCTTGGGTCACAGTGAGTGCTAGGACTCAGCCTCATCCTTGAGAGGTCACTGAGAGGTCACCTGCCATCTCCGGCCATAGTCTTTGGCTGTGGAGCCCAGGGGTTTATGCCTGGGCCCCCAGAAGTGTTCTCGCCGTGGCTGATCCCAGCTTTGACCTGGAGGGAAACGGTTTCCTCATGGGGGCTTGGCTGTCCGTGGAGGTAGCGATGGGTCTCAGACCCTGGGCAGTGTCTCCTAGATGTCACCAAGAGAGCCAGCACTGACAGAATGCCTGACCTGAGGCTGTCCTGAGGGCTCACTGGCCTCAGATGATAGTCCCGGGGATCTCAGGGGCTCTTCCACCTGCTACGGAGGAACCAGCTCCCCTAGCATGGCCTTTGGGTGGTGCGCCCCGAGGGAAGGGACTCCGGGGGTACTGAGGTGGTGAGTAGGGGATGGCTTCCACCTCCCTGAAGCCAGAAAGGCCCCCAAGGGATCCCTGCCCCCTCAGGCCTGTCAGGGTGATGAAGGCAGGAAGTGAGAATGAGCAAAGCTTTGGGGTATGATGTTGCCATCAAAGCCCAAGTGCCCTCAAAGGCACCAGTGGCCACCCCCCACCCCCGTCATCTCCACTTACAGTTCCGTGAACTCCACCCCTGCTCCTCTCCTTGACCTTAGAAGGTATCTCTGAGTTTGCATGACTTCTAGATGTAGATGGCTAGAGCTCCAGAGAATTTTTTTTTTTTTAAGTTTAATTAGTAATTTCAAGAGAGATAGAGACAACACAAGCCGGAGAGGGACAGAGAGAGAGGGAATCCCAAGCAGGCCCCACACTGTCAGCACAGAGCCCGACGGGCAACTCCATTTCACGACCATGAGATCATGACCTGAGCCGAAACCAAGAGTCAGACGCTTAACCAACTGTGCCACCCAGGCGCCTAACTAGGGGAGAGGCAGTGCTCTGGATCACCAAGGAGTCACTGGACAGAATATTCTAGACTTGAAATGTCATGAGGTAGAATGGCCAATGCTCCTTTGGTATTAATTCACACCTCTGCTCGCCAGGGTATGAACTAGGGAGGGGTTAGGGCCCGGTCTGCAGCCTGAGAAAACCAGGGCCAGGTGCAGGAAGGGACAAGGCCCAGCTCATGGGCCCCCATTTGAAACCTGACTCTCCTAGGTGCTGCCCACCCGCTGCCAGTTTTCCCCTCTGTAAAGACAGCTGCAGACAAACCATAAGAGACTCTTAAATACAGAGAACAAACTGAGGGTTGCTGGCGGGGTGTCGGGCATTAAGGAAGGCCCTTGTTGAGATGAGCGCTGGGTATTATATGTAAGTGATAAATCACTAAATTCTATTCCTATATTATTACACTATACGTTAACTAACTTGGATTTAAATTTTAAAGAGAGAGACAGAGAGAGAGAGCTGCCCTGCAAATTCTGTGAGGTGTTGAAAAGAAAACCATAGGCCCAAAATGGATTCATTTATGTTAAGGGCCCCGTCTCTGTGAGCTAAGACCTAATACCTAATCTCACTGCAGTTTCGGTCCCCCTGCCCCCACCATGTAACCTTTAACTGGTTGGAATGGAATTTCCTGGTCAGCACAATGAAACTTACTGATAGACCCTTCCCGTTTCCGATACGAGGGTAACCTTGCCTAAAACAATGGATTCTTTGATAATAATTTCCTTTTCTCTATTCCTTCTCTACCTTTAAAAAACCTTTCCTTTTCTGCAGCTCAACAAAGCTCCTCTCTCTCTGTTTACTAGATGGGATGCTGCCTGACTCATGAATCATTCAATAAAACCAATTTGATGTTTCAAATTACTCAGGTGAATTTTTGTTGTTTAACCGAGGCCATGCACACACACACACACACACACACACACACACACACACAGGGTGTCTCTACACCAGGCCATCTCGGAGTTTCTGATCAAACCCATTCTTCTCTCTGTGTTGGCTCCAGGCCTATCTCAGGCCCACTGGCCTTGTCTCTCTGTTCTCATCTCTGTATGGTCTGGCCTCAGCTGACACCTGGTGATAGCCATCTTATCACCCCTTCCTCACCTAGCTGCCTCTGCTCTCCTCCACTGGCTCAGCCCAGGAGCCAAGGGAAGGGAGAAGAGTGAAGGGGATGAGGCCTGTCCACGGATTTGAGGCTTAGCAGTGTGTAGTATCCCAGCCATACTTTGTGGGGGCCCAAGGACAGTCATGGTCATGGCCGGGCCAGAGATCAAGCCAAGCTATGGTCAATCCCAGCCAACAAGATGTGGGTACTGGGCTGGTTGGAGCTGGAGGGGTGGGGACCAGCTGGGGGTACCCATTGCATTTAGCCTTAGGAAGGGAAGAGTCCTGCAGGCTGGGCTGGGGATAAAGGTAGAGTTCTGCCTCCCCTCCTCAGAGTCCAACAGGGCTGTGGGGGGAGGGTCAGCTCAACATGCACACCTGCCTCATGTCAGTTGGGACTCAGCACTCAGAGGGATGGCGGAGGACCATGGTGTGGACTCAGGCCAACTCCAAGGGCTCCAGGGTAGACAGGACCCTGAAGGCTACACTATTCACCCGTGTGAACCTGTAACAAGCTACACAGAAGCCTTGGGGCCAAGCCCCTCCTGGGAGAGGCCAGGACTGGGCCTTCTAACCCAACCTCTGGGTCTCTACAGTATAGCAGAAACTTAAAAGGCATCCACACCTAGGTTTCTCTGTGGCAAGAAGCCAGGAGAACTCCAGCTGCTCCAGACCTTCCCCGCTGTCTCTGGAGGGTGGTTCTCCCCACTCCACATACCCAAGAGGAGAGGCTCCAAGGGACTGCAGTGGCCTGTCTTCCCATAGAGGTGCCCAGGCCCCACCCCTTGGATGATTGGGTCACCCAATCACCCAGGGGAGCAGCAAAATGCTCTCTGGCAGTTCCTGCACCTCAGGAATCCCGTCCAACCCCCCAGACTGGTTTCTAGAAGACTGTGAGCAATGTCCAGCCCAGCCCATGTTTGAGACACAAGCAGTCCTCTCTCCCCTGCTTGAAGGCTGGGCAGGCCATCCCCAGGGGAAGGGGACAACTGGACTTCTCAGAGCCCAGGACCACACCTGGGAGGAGCCTCCAAAGGAGATGCCCCCTGGAGGCCAGTCACGGCAGCAGGAACTCTTGGTGTCCACCGATGAGCCCTCCTTGCTCGCTGCAGGTCCAAACACACTGGAGGGGGAAGGCCTGCTCCTCCAGAGCCTTGGCTTGAGTTTCTAGTTTTCAGGAGTT